TGTGGTTTAATGTGCATTTAGGTGTGATGACTATATATATATATATATATATATATATATATATATATATACACGTTTTAGTTTAATTAAAGTGACTGTTTAGTGTCTAAACTGGCTTTCATGTAGCCCCTAAACCTGCTGGGAAAAGTGTGAGTATTTAATAATACATAAAATGATATTTTCTGCATTGTATTTGTGTACATATGTCCAATAGACTTCCATAGTAAGTTCAGAATTGTGAGTGCATTTTATTTATTTATTTATTTCAAGTCACCTTTTTATTTATTTATACACACTGAGGTACAAATTCAGATCATTGTTATTTCAGCATCAGTGAGATACTATGATAGTTTTTATTAATATTCTGAATTAGTTTTTTTTTTTCATATATCAATTGCAGTTCAAAGTGTAACACTTAAGACATGAATGTGGGTTAATCTCTGCCAGGTTTGTGACCGCTTATTAATGCTTCACCTTTTTAAACCCTGTTAGTCATGGCTCTAAAACAGACGGCTGTCCTCACGCCAGTGTGATGTGGTTCGGCAGCTGCTCTCAGCTTGTCTGAAGGCATTTTGTCGCTCTCACAGCTGGAAGGGTCTGTAGGGTTTGTCATGTGTTTGTGACACACACACACACACACACACAGTTCCACTTCTGTTCGGATATTAGCGATTTATATATTTCCAATCAAAAATTGTGCAGAGATCTCAGTGCACAGAGTCTGGTGATGGGTAACCAGATCAAGTAAAACCGTTTTGTGTGTGTGATGGTTTCCATGTGCTCTGCTGGGTTTCCTCTGGCCACTTTGAATCCCGGTGTCCCTCTTTTTCACGTTGGCTCAGTGACAGATTGCGATAATCAGCAGGTCTGAGAGGAAGCCAGCTGGAGACGTGTGGATTAGAGGCCGAGGTTCTGGGGCACTTAATCTGGCGTCACTCTGATGCTCCATCGACGCCACTTTCCAAAACTCTGATTTATTGTCTTTCCTCTCCTGCTCTGTCCAAATGTCCAGCTCGGGTTGGAAATCAAACCGTTAGCACATGCTTTCCACTATGTGAGGGTTCGGAAACGGGTCACGACAGACTCGACTCACCCCTGCAATCACACACACGCACACTCCTCAGTTTGTATCCTTGACGTTTTCATTGTGTCCATCTGCAGGTGTCAAATATTAAACATGAGGACTTCAAATTGAACTCTGAAGAAATGTCTAAAATGATCACAGATGTCCAATCCATGAAGGGCAAGCAGGAGTCGATGGACTCCAAAATCAGCACCCTCAAACAGTAAGTCACATTGCATTTAGGTTTGGCCAAAACATTTGTCTGCCATTTCCTCTTCTGGTTCTGGATTAATTTAGTCTAAACCTTTCATATAGTTGCTAAACCTACTGGGAAAAGTTTGACTGATGTAATAGTTGGCTTGTTGCCAGCCAAGCGTTTAGACCTTATTAAAGGAATTAAAATAAATAAAATATTTAAATATTTAATAATATTTAAAAGAGTATTTTCTGCATTGTATTTGTGTATGTTTGCCCAATAGGCTTCCACAGTAAGTAGTAAGAACTGTGAGTGCATGTTATTTATTTTTTATTTTTTGTTTCACTAACTGGGTTTTATGACCATTGTCATTTTCTGTATATCGATCTAAGTCTTTTATTGAGATGAATGTAGTTATTGGAAACTCTAACTATAGATTGATATGGACATATACTGCTTTACAGTAGTTATTTATTTGGTGGTTAATGAAACGTTCTCCAACACACACACACACACACACAAGTAGTCATCTGGTACACACACAGGCAGAATATTACGGATGATGTTTGCTTGGACATGTCACCCGTGCAATAACTTAGTTTTGCATTGATTTTTGGCTTTTAGTCCTCTGAATATGTTACAGATTTCTGAAATCCAACAAATCATCTTAAACGTTTAAAAAAAAATAATTTAACGTCAGTCAATCTAATGTTCTGACACCTAAGGTGTGTTTTAAGTTTATTTAATTATAAATTTTAAATGCAAGTCAATGAATGTAATATGTTTTCAGAATGGCTGCTGTAGTTAATGTGTTAACATGTAAAATTAAGAGAATTTTCTGAATATTAAAACAATATTTAATTAATACACAAAAAAATTGAAATTACTTATTTATATTTAATATTTATTCAATAATATTTAATATATAACAAAAATCTGTATTTTATTTCTGTATGTTTGCCCCGTAAGCTTCCATAAATGGAGCTTGTATTTAACACAGCATATTTAATGTTTAATGTTGTTAAATGTATTTAACTCATTTAATACATTAGCACAAGTTTTTATTAAATAAATAAAAGTTATTATTTATTTATTTATTTAATAAAAATTTTATTAAATATGCAGCCAACATATAGAAAAAAATAGAGAAATGCTAATTCATAATGGCTAATTTATTGATAAATCAACTTATTTTTAAAGTTCAGTGTGAAATATCATCAAACAGTAAAATATATTTGTTTTCTTGCCTTTCAAACTAAATTCGCTGATTTTAGAATTTAAAAATTTAAATTCACAATAACTTTAAACAATTGAGACAAATTGTGATTTTTTTGTTTGGATTGTTGTTAGGTTTTTGAAAGTCTGTTTTGACGTGAAGGAGATTTTGAAAGTCTCCAATTTGTGTTTTTCTGAGTCTGAGTGGAGATTTGGGAGAGGTCTGATCACCCTGCTTACAGGAATCTACACCTGCCCCATAAACCCCCGTCCCATCTGCTGAGGGGTGAGCAGGGGAAGGGCACATGATCGGAGGAGGGGACTCTTAAAGAGCTTCTTCCTGCACGCTACTGTTTTACAGATGAGCAATGCTGGGTTATAATGCAGCTGAGTCCTCTCATAATCTCTGTCTCTTACTTGATATAAGAGACACGTCTGCAGGGAGTCCATGAGATGAATGTCAGACACAGATGATGTCACTCAAGTCAAATATTCCTGATACTTTACAATGAAAAAAAAAAATATCTGGATATACTTAGTAATTATTTGTAAAAATGTACTAGCAATTTCTATGTAAAAATGATTTCCAAGTAACGGCTTTAAAAAAATTTTTTGCAGTGTAAAACATGTAAACACTGCTTTTTATATAGTGTATCATTTATATTTTATATCTACATTTTTTATATTTTTAATATAAAATATTGATAATTTACTTAAAGAGGTCTATGCATTGTTTAATTTATATTATAACATATTTTTACTTTTTAAATTTTCTTAAGCAAAAACTGTTACGTATTATTCATTTTTCATACAGTATATAGATATATTTTGATGGACTGTGATGGTTTTAATTAATAGGTCTCTTATGAAAAGATTATTTTTTTTAAATCACAGATTAAATGTTTTTTATACATTTAGTTTTTGTTTGTCATTTATAGATAATTAGTTTAACTTTTTCTGTTTTTGAAACCTAAGTGGGTCATGAGAGAGGAGAAATCTAAATTCCCTTGATCTTTTGACATAGAAGAGGTCTTTGTACTATAAAAACATTCTGTAAGTTTCAGAACTCAAAACTTTCTTGTTAGTCTAAAAACAGCTTAAATTGCCAATCTGCATAAACAACAGGTTGTGGAATGTGCCACTTTATGACATAATAGTGTGGCTAAACCCCACCTCCACAGAAGAAGATCAACGCCTGCTTCTACATCGCTGCCTTTTTAGCTCCGCCCACTGGAGCGTTACTACGATGAGGAGAGAACAGAAATACAGGATCACTGAACTAACAAAAAAAAAAAACATTACCTTCCAAAGGATCCTAATTCTAGGAAAGTGATTATTTTTTACAACGAGGAAGTCTAAGTAGAGCATTAATTTTTCAGTACATTTCACTTTGGATTCTTTGGTAAATCAGTCACAGTTTAGGCGCAGGCTTTGCAAACAGACTTTTACTGTAAGATATGGGCCTGATAGTAATACAACAACATGTAAGTAACCGTGTTCATTCTAATGCCTAATCTTAAATTACATACAGAAAGCGATCAGAGAACGCTCCGTTTATAATCGCTGGAGCTGTCAATCACACAGCACGAGTTTATATTCAGTGACGCAGTCTACACTGCACAATGAATCTCTTATTTACGTTGTGTTTGCACTGTTAGTTATGATGAAAGCAAATGTGAAAGTGCAAAACTCAAGTTGCAATGACGAGATCACTGCATTCATGCGCTCAACAGTTTGTCATCAGCTACAATGCTCATCGCTGCAACCTTTCATGCAACGGGAGTTGATCTAAATATAATGCTATAATCAACACTTTTCACAATTATCATATATCAACAGCTGTAACAGTAAGAACGCAGTAAAAGTTTTTGAGAGAGCTCAACATGTAATACTTATTTCATATGCAAGATGTTAGCCAATCATAGCAACGGATGTTTCTATTGGAAGTCTCACAGCAGACACTCCCCTTTCAATAGAGCGTTCAAATCAGAGGGCTAAAATCAGGGTAGAAAATGTCCTTTTATTTCTATATTATGACCATTTTTGATGTAAAAATCATACTGACATTATTAGTGCAATAATTAAAAAGTGCAGTTCATGGCCCCTTTAACAACTACCTTACTAATTATTAATAAGCAACAAATTAGGAGATTACTGAGGCAAAACTCGTAGTTAATAGTTAGTTAATCGTGAGAATTGGTCCCCAAACTAAAGTAAAGTTTCCTATATGTTGTGCTTCCTAAGCAGATCTTTCAGGCAACGCAGCTGTGCTTATGAAAGGACCATGCAGTTGTTTGTGTAATAGATTTTTCATACAATTTTTGTGTCTTTTAAACTTTTTTTGTCCATGATTTCAAATGTTCTTTAACTTGTAGGATTTCGTCGGCATCGTGTTTGAATTTTCCATTTCCACCACAGTGATGTTCAGTATTTTCCTGTGGTTTTGTTCCTGTGTGCTGGGCTGTGTTTAGGCCGTGTTTCTGTGGCTATATTGGACTTGTGAGCTCACACTTAAAATGCCATTTTATCAGTGTCAAGGGAGCAGAGTTTAAGAGAAGCAGGCCTTACTCAGACACCCTGAAAAAAACAACCGCCCCAGAGTATTTTTTTTTTTCAGTAGTGTTTACAAAGTTTAGTGCTGTGGACAAACAATTGTGAACAAAACATGCATGAAAATTTCAGTTCTGACAATTTCTAACAGAACTCATTGCCTGAAATTTTATATTTCATCTTTCTGTCTCTCTCTCCCGCAGTGAGAATGAGGGTCTCTGGAGGGAAGTTGCCATTTTGAGACAGAAACATGCTCAACAGCAGAAAGTCGTCAATAAGGTAAAATCAGCAAACTTTCTCCTGCTTTCAGAGTGACACATACATTTGTTGGCCTTTGCAGGTAAAATTTAATCCATTCCAACCTCAGAGGCAGCCTTATCAGTTTAAAGTCAAAATGAAATGGCATAAGCATCACATTTTATTTCCAAAACATGACCGATTCATTTTGATTCACCAATGGATCCTCTGCAGTGAATGGGTGCCGTCAGAACGCGAGTCCAAACAGCTGATAAAAACATCTCAATAATCCACAAGTAATCCACACCACTTCAGTCATGTAAAATATTTATTAAATATTATTTTAATAAAATAAATAAGAGTCCTTTATCCATAAAATTGCTTTCTTCAGTGAAAACGTTTTCTCGTCTGAATCAGGAGAGAAATATGCACAGTGAAAACAGTTTTGAACAAATATGTCTGTGGATTTTGATGTGAAAGGACAACAAGGGGTAGACTTTTTCACTGGAGGAAGTGTTATTATGGATTGTTCTTTGGCCAGAAGTGATGGTTTGAAGTTAAAATGTTTCTTTAGGATTTGTTTCTTATAAACACACAGATTTTCTCTTCACAAGACGTTAATTGATAGATTGGAGTCGTGTGGATTACTTGTAGATTATTGTGATGTTTTTATCAGCTGTTTGGATTCTCATTCTGATGGCACCCATTCACTGCAGAGGATCCACTGATAATGCTAAATTTCGAAACTAACCTACCTAACCTACATCCATATTTTACTGGACTCTACAGTTTTTAATGTAAATAGAAAATGTTTTTATTCTTAGATTTTTAACTGATGTATTTAAAAAAAAGTATCATCTGAATGTATTTTAGAAGTTATATATACATGCGAATGTCAAAGAAAAAAGTTGTAATCGATTTTTTCTTTTGTTTCCACAGCTCATTCAGTTCCTGATCACACTGGCACGGTCCAACAGAGTCCTGGGAGTGAAACGAAAGATGCAAGTCAACCTCAGATTAATACATATATTCACATTGATAGGTTGCTATTTAAAGAGGTCATATGTTGCTACATGCACTTTTACAAGTTGTTTGAACTGAAATGTGTGTTGGCAGTGTGTGTACACAACCACCCTAAAA